TAGAAATATTGCAGACAGAATTTTAACTGAGAAAGCTTGGAAGCGAGTATTCGATAAAAATTCTAGCATCAGTGAAAAAGCACTTGCTTACGCTGTAGCTAACGCTATGAAATTAAAATCTAAATTCAGTATGGGACTCAAGAATAAAAAGAAACATAAATAAAAAAAAACTCAAGTCAAAAGGTCGCAAAAAGAAATATCAAAAGTTAATAGACTTGAAAAACATAATCAAAGCTGCCAATTTTAAATGGCCAAAAAATAAATGTGCTCGAACGATCATCGGCACTGCTCTAAATCTTTTCATGCAGTCATTAAAAAGATCGGTGGAAAAACTAACATCAAAACTCTATGAATTATGCCAATTTCCAAAAAGATGGATGGAGCTTTACCCTTTCTCATTCCTCTTTTTGCTGTTCTAAGCGTAACTGGTACTCTAACTGGCGGAGCTGCAGGAATCGCAAAAGCGTAAATGATGCAAAGTCTGTAAAACGACAATTAGAAGAAAGCAAAAGACACAACAAAACGATGGAGGCCATTGCACTGGGTGAAGGGATGAATCTTAAACCATATAAAACAGGCTATGGACTATATCTCAAACCTTACTTTGGATTAGCTTTAAAAAAAAAATTTCAAGTAAATTTACACGATAGAGCTCTTATAAATATCGACTTAATGAAGTATGTCAAAATTTTAAGTACACCAAATTTCCGAGGAGTGTTTAGGAGAAATAACTTACCAAAGCCTGGACCACATTATCGAGAATCAACTATAATTAATCTCGATGACGTTAACGGAATAGACATACACTGGGTTGCTTATCGGAAAATTGGAAATAACGTCACATATTTTGATAGTTTTGGAAATGTTAGACCTCCATTTGATCAAATGACATATCTCGGTGTAGATGAAGTCAAATACAATCCAAAAAGATACCTATAATTGCGGTCATCTTTGTTTGTAGTTTTTATGTGGGGCTATATAAATAAAGACACCGTAAAAAGCTATCAGTCTTATTTAAACAGTCATGGAAGAATTATTCACTTTTACTCTCTCGGGTAATTCTTCTCTACTGGAAGCGCAATATTTTCCACCCATTGAACTATCAGCAAACAAAAGATACGTTTTGGGTTTAGTAGAATTTTTGGACATTCAACTCTATACCCAATATAGATATAAATAACAATAAATTTTACGTTGGTAATAAACCACCTGTAATCTTACCTGTGGGTAGTTATGAAATTGAAGATATTGATAAATTTCTCCGTAAAACCTTAGAGCCTGAAATAACAGTGAGTCTGAAACCAAACAATAATACTTTACGTTGTGTAATTGAAAGTTCAGAAGATATCGATTTCCGTCCACAAGATTCCATTGTTTGAGTACTGGGATTTGCACGGTGTAAACTAGAAAAAAACAATTTTCACCATTCGGATCTTCCAGTAAAAATTCTCAAAGTAAATTCTCTGAGAGTCGAGTGTAACATTACCTCAGGTGCATATATGAATGGGAGTAAGATTCACGATATTCATGAATTTTTTCGTGCAGTACCACGTGGATATAAAATTATCGCAGTTCCTTCAAATGTGATTTATCTCCCAGTTACCATAAAGTGTATAGATAATTTACAATTACGCATCGTTGACCAAGACGAAAATTTATTAAACTTTCGAGGTGAAGTGATAACAATTAGATTACACCTGAAAAGTACATGATGGGAATCGTTTACAATTTAAACAGTAGTGGTGGCTATATAAGCAGTATAATATACAAAACCAACCATCAGTCGTCGATTAAAAATAGAAGCGACAACACGGCGAATCCCGAGTGTCAATCGTCATCGAAAAGCAAAAGGATTGACACATCAAAGCATAAAGTTCTTAAAAGTTTCGGCTTAAAAGTAATTTCTGATGGAAAATAAATTGTATTATTTTTTGCTGCTTTAAACGAAATAATGGAGAACGTTCTAGAAATACAGTCACCCGTCACCTTTGATGAATCCTTGGCTCATTATGAGATTCATACTCATTAACCGTACACCAATACATCTTTCAAAAATAGCGATGAAATTCGCATATCAATCCAACATCAAGACCTGCGTCTTTTACCATCTCGTAGCTCATTGCGTATTTGTGGTAGATTGTGCGACGATAAGAATGCAGTCTTAACGAATACTCTATTTGTGAACAACGCCATCTGTTATTTGTTTGAGGAAATTAGATATGAGCTAAATGCGATAGAAATCGATAAATGTAAAAACGTTGGTCTAACAACTATTATGAAAAATTGGCTATCACCCAATCCAAGTCAAAATTGGATTGCTGAAAATGCCGGATGGATAACAGAAAATGATCAGAAAATAATCAACAACGAAGGATATTTCTATGTCACTATTCCTTTAAACTTCATTCTCAGATTTGCTGAAGATTATCGCAAAGTATTGGTAAATATGAAACATGAACTAATTCTCACACGATCAAGCAGTGATTTAAATGCAGTTATCCAAACAACAAAATTAGTGGAACTAGAAACAATAATCGAAAAATTTAAGATCGATATAACACGCATCGAATGGCTTATGCCATATGTTACTGCATCGAATTCAAAAAATTTGTCTACTTGATTTTCTGAAAAGAGAAAGAACCATTTCAATAAGTTTTCGTAGTTGGGAATTATATGAGTATCCAATGCTACCTATGAACACAAGTAACGTATGAACAGTCAAAACTGCAAATCAACTGGAAAAACCACGTTATGTCATCTTAGCTTTTCAAACTAAACGAAAAAATATTTCAACAGTTAATGCAAGCGTATTCGATCATTGCAACATTAGTAACGTAAAACTTTTCCTCAACTCTCAGTGTTATCCGTATGGTAATCTTAATATTGACATAAATAAGCATCAGTTTGCAATGTTATACAACATGTACTATATGCCAGTTTCCAGAAGGCATATTATGGTAAAGACTCTGAACCGATGCTAAAAAAATCTACCTTCATAAAACAAGTACAACTCATTATTATTGATTGCTCTAAACAAAATGAGACATTGAAGAACTCTGCAGTGGATGTACACTTGGAGTTTGAAACAAGGGAAAAGATTTCTGAAGGAACTTCAGCATATTGTTTTATTTTACATGATCGCATCGTTCAATACAATTTAATAAGTGGGGATGTAAAGAAACTTATTAGGGAGTGGAGATCGATGTATTAAAGAGATGACTCTTCTCTCAAGCAGCTCAGTAGCAGCCCGAATAGAGTACGTAGTGGATATGCAAGGTTTCATGATGCCTGGCAATACGTATGCCTTAAAGAAGCTAGCGATACTTCCACTTAACTGCGACGAAGAACCACTCGTACGATTATTCAATCCTCCGTTTCCATGGCGAAGACTAAATGAAAAATGTAAGCGTTATAATCTTTGGAAATCTACTATCATGGATTAGAATGGGACTCTGGTGATTTCAAGTACGAAGAGCATAAATTCATCATTACAGACACGCTCAAAGATGCTACAAAAATTTTTGTTTCCGGAGATCTGAAAAAAGAATGGTTCGAACGACATGGCCTCAAAGTTTTCGACTTGAATGATTGGAGATATTCCCCTTTTGAAAATATGAAATCAGTTACTGTGTGTCCTAATCATAACGGTAAATACGTAACGACGTGCGCACATCCAAATGTCAAATTTATGAAAAAGTTTTACTTAAATGGTTGCTGCATGGATTGGGAAGAGAGCGATGAAATTATTGAAGGATTTCATTCTTTCAATGTAAATGACTTGTAGAATAAGATTTATTTTTTATTAATAAAAAAATTTTATTTAAGAAAAAACAATGTGTATATTTAAGATAACCCCCCCCCCTCTACTCCACTATTTCATAAATTAATAATCAGTATATAATTTTTTTCACTAAATCTATGCATTACACGTAAATCAATTACGTCAAATTAATTAAATGCAATTAATTACATAAATTTATTTTAATGTTTAAAACGCATTTCACATTCGGCGGGCGGGGAGGGGGGCTTTTGCGCATGATCTAATAGTGATGATCTGATAGTTCATACGCTTCAGATCACAGAGGGAACGGCGGCGGGGGCGCCTGATCTCAGGAGGAGAGGGGGAGCCTGATTTAAGAGTGCTGCAGATTGCAGGAGTAGAGGGGGCGCCTGACCTAAGAGGGCTGCAGGAGGAGAGGCGGCGCCTGATCTAAGAGTGCTTATCTCATAGATCATGCACTTCAGATCACTGATTTGAGCCCCCCCCCCATGATCTGAAGCCCCCCTGATCTGTGGCCTACCTAGTTTACCTAATTATTTCTTGAAATTTTATAACTTTTTCTTATATTTTTCTTGGAGAAAGTAATGCAACTGTTTTTATGCATACTTATATCGTACAGCATTTCTCTCTCTCTTTCTTTCTCTCTTTCCTTACCTATGCCATTATTGAGCGTATATCTTGAATTTTATATGTTTTTTTCCAATGCAAAACAAAATTAAAATAAATCACAAAGTTTTCCATTTGAATGACAAATACCATTATTTTTTATTTAATAATTTGTTACTTAACTTGTAGAATGTCTTATTATAACCAGTCCAAAACATCTAATGAATAATCATTATGAACCAATTAGGAGTAACTTTGCTAATATTTCCATCATTTTGGATGTTAATATAAATTGTATAATGTATACTAGGAAAAATACATAAAATTTATTATTCCCTTATTTGTCTATTATATTAGATATTTAAAGAAAATATAAATTTGTACAACTTTTTGACCTACAATAGTTATAAGACAAATAATTTTTTATTATAAATATTATTACAGAAGAATTTATTTGGATAATGCTCCAATCGAAAAATAATATCAATAAGCCTTGTATATTCATAGAAATACTATTTTGGAATATTTCACTCAAAATTCTCTTGTTTTTAGTTAAATCAAATAATATCATAACTTCAAATGATAACTTGTTTTTTAACATTTTTGTCCCTAGCACAGAGAATCACTACAATTCAGCTAGATGGTGTGCAATATTTTATATCTAGAATGAATCCTTATAGTCCTGAGTTAAATTATTTTTTAGCATACCAGTACTGTCGTTCACTTGGTTTGCAACTTGTTTCATTTGAGACAAAAGAAAAAGCTGATATTATGACACAATATTTGAAAAATGCAGGCTACTCAAAATATGATTTTTGGACTTCTGGAAATAATCTTGGTACAGACATGTTTCTTTGGATGAGTTCTGGACTTCCTTTCAACGCAACTTTTGATTACATGGTGAAATCATCTAATAATAAATCCATAGACGTTCCACCAGGTACTGAACCACAGCGTGTTGCTCGAGAAAGGTGAATAAATATATACTAACAGTTTTATAATATGGAGTGTCATTAAACATTTTTAGTTTTGATATTTTGGGACTTTATTCATTTACAGAGGAGGGGTTACGGTACTGTATTAAGTCGCTCAACGCTAATTGCGCAATATCAACGAAAACGATACAACGACTTTCGCTTCAATCTGTCTCATTAGCTCCGGGTTTCAACGTAACACGAGTCAAGCGCGTCGACGACACAAATAAACAACTCAAATGGCATTAAATGCATGCAGCGTCTCGCAACTCACGGATTACAGCGAACTTGTTGTAAACGCTGAGGTTATCCGAGGTACCAAACCATTCTACGTTCGAAAACAATATATAAAAAAGAAAATTCCTTCTACTTCCAGCGAAAAAAGCGAACGTGATATTTTAACTGCCAAAATTTAGCAAGAATTACTATGCGTGGAGGGGTTAGTTGTCGCTCGTCAGGAACTACCTGCTGCTAATTCTGTAGTGGGTGCAACTTCGATCAAGAAAGTCGGCGTTGGCTTCTACAAAAATTATTCATCACGACTGGCTGTGAGCGTAAAAGTTAAAGATAACGATTCACAAATTATACAAGATATTTCGAATAAATACAAAACGTCGCGCTTTATTTTCGCCAAAGGGAAACAACGAAAAACTTAAACTACATACAAATAAGAAGTTAACGTAACCGCTCAAATCTAGCGCTTATTGCTGTTATAGTTGGTATTAAGACGTGAGCGAAGTTGCTTAACGTATCCCGGTGTAAAAAAATTTGAACACAAAAGACTCGTGTCCAAGTGAGTGCTGACGCGGGAGAGATTGAGCTTTGGAAAGTGACACACCGGATATCGCGTTATGTTCATCAGTTCCGCTTTATGTTCGGAATCGCAATAAATTATTAAGGCTAGACAGCGAGTTCGAGTGCCTGGAGCTCCACCCTCGCAACTTCCTCACGTTGGTTTAATATCAGTCTCGCTAGCTCCGGCAAGACCGCTGCTATACTCGTAGAATCGCGTTCCTTCCTGTTCTTGGGCACCGCACTCAGTTGCAGATGTGCTAACGTCTGCTCTTGGCGCAGGTATGCATGTTCCATCGGAAAATAGGTGAGTCTATCTTTGCCCCTATTGACATTATAGAGTTTACTTGGTCGCTCGGCTATTACCCACGACTATCGGTCGGATTTGTGTTCCTCCGGTTGCAGTGCAACTCCTGATCCGATTTCGTTACGTTAGAGTCAATCACCTAGATCACCCCATCCTGTGACTCACCCTGCGTGACCGATCTCACCTTTCTCGGTACAGGTGTAAAATTTAGCGCACTCCCTGTGCTCAGCAATCCCGTAAATAACGAGATAAGCTGCGATTTTTGCTGCTATCTTTTCCGAAACTCTCATATTTCTCTATGTTTCATAGAAATGCCTTTTATAACTAATGCGATGCTAAGAAAAGCCGGCTTTCTTTTGTTGAAGCTTGGCGAAGTTTGACATTTTTTATTGCCGCGGCATTTTTTTTAAAGGTGCCATACATGGGCGCTGCCTCCTCCTCCCTTATTACTTGCAAATACTTGAAACGTACACCGCGGAACTCAAGACGTCAAGTCGCACTTCGAAGCAGCGCGCTTCGAGGTATTCCGACGTGGATGAACTCGCCCATGTGGTGAATGGCAACGGATACTGCAGCAGCAGGTCCTCCGGTGTAATGAGCTCATTTATGATTGATTCGTATCTTCAAACCCGCTGAATCTCTACCACAATCAGCGTTAAAATTGATAATAGCAGCACTTCGCTGAGACGGAGAGATAGTACTGCTGGATATGCCCATCTGTAAAACACCTACCGAGCCCACACGGCCCCCACCGCCACAACAATTTTAACTTCGGCACCCACGTTAAGCAAGCACGAATTCATTCTGACTCTGCTCCGCGACCTCTGGCTCTGTAGTCTGACTTCTACTTGCGCCCAATGTAATCTTGCTCGCGCTTTCCTCGACCACGAGAATGAAGGAGGTAATTACTGATCCTTGATGCTCTATTACAGCTAACATCGTATTTGTCTCGACGTGCTCGCCAGAGAAATGCATAGCTGCTTCTGGCTGTTCCATAGTTGTTTCGCTTGCAATATAATTACATAATAACAATTAATAAAGCTCACAATTTCTCAATACATTTGCCAGATTATCGCGTCAACACGATGGCTACATTGTCCGGCACATCCTTTGCCTTTATTAAACGTTTACACTTAGGAACAAAGCCAAAACAGAACTTAACCTAAAAATTACAAGCAACATTCACATAACCACTAGAACATCCAAGATGTATCCTACTTCTAATTGTTGACTCTTTTCACATTTCGCAGAGAGACGTACCTCTTAAATTCAGATACATGTACCATCAATACCTACTTATTATTGTGCGTGGTTAAGATTAATACGCCTGGTGATACTATCCACAAAACTTTATACGAACTGGAGAAACTTGAGTCCAATTTAGCTTCTCTTCCAGGACTCACATTTAAGAACGTGTGTACGCGGCTTAACAATAAGTCATCGACTTTCGTAATGTTTCTTTTGGAGGTTTAGCGATTCCTCGATGTGTTTGATAACCAATTCACGCAGCGCAATGACGCGTGAATAATCGACACACACGTTCTACTTCGTATCGTAAATTCCTTACCTGCTACAGTTCACAACCAAAATTCAAGAACGCTAGGATGGTCCTTGTGCTTGCCTAAATCTTCGTATTCATGTCTTGCCTAAATTCGTGTAGATACTTATCCTGATTTTTGTGATCTTCCTCACGAAAATCGCCAACATTCGTTTAAGTATTTTATCGCTCGCTCAGCAAAATTGACCTGCTAGTAGTATAGTGGAGAGACTTGAGCTTTACGTATTTCGTAAATAAATCATGAAATATTATACGATATTTAAATTGATTCTTTCTTCTCGGTAATTCGATGACATTTACTACTACTACTAAACACAGTCGCTTGAATATTTGCTTAATCATGAGGCCTATCGGGAACAATTATTCAATTTTATGCCGTTGAGATTTTTTACACGAACGCACGAATTCCTTTATGTCGTGGTACATACCGTGCCATGGGTAGTCCCTCGCAATCTTTTCATATGTTTTATCCCTAACAAAATGTTCCGAATGTGTCTCTCACTTCACTCGAGCTCGCTATAACTTATCTGTTCTGCAACGATAGAGCATACTGTCTTATATCCTTCAATTTCTAAAAGATACCTCTCATTAACTGGGTCGAAGTACCCCTATCCCAGAATGTGAAAACTAACTCGATAAATCCATTCTACCTCCAAAAACAACTAGTTTACCATCGACTAAACTTTTTTATCTTTTCTCCAAACGTGGAAAGGTAAAAAAAAACGGTAATTTACAAAAAAAAATTGTTTTTCTCTGATTCTAAAAAATATATCAATACCGAGATTACGGTATCCTATTCTATATGTACTCTAGTTTCACTGTGATTTTTTGAAAATTTACAACGACGGGCATCAACCTAGAAAACGAAAAAAGTATTTCAAATCGTCGCGCACTCGCGAATAGAGAGAGAAAGAGAGAGAGAGACGACCTGACCTGGTAAAGGCTGCTGGTAGGAATCGCTGCTGATGCTGCTGGCAGGAACTGTTTTTTAAGTTGGTGGCAGAAAATTCTGCTATTTCCACTGCAGGCCGAAAATACTGCGGGACTGCTGGCAGGCTTGTGGCAGACTCGTATGGATTCCTCGATGCAAGGGTCGTTGGAAGTCTACCTTGTGCTTTGATCTGCTCGTTGTCCTCTACTTTCTTTGTCTGTTTAGTTCTCTTTCACGTGTGCACGCTCGGCCGTCAAACGATCCGTCTAACTCAGAATCTCCAACGCCGGCGGCCAAGGGCCGACAATTATAGCCAGGGCCCCGTCACAAGTTTTTCGTTTCTATCAGTGTGGATATATTTTAAGTAAAAGCTGATAGAACATTCATATTCTACGCGAAGAAATACTTGTAATACTTGTATTATCAGGACCAATCCATCAAACAAATCGACGATCAAACTTCAGACTCTCGCTTGCCTATGCGTTATACATAGGGAATTGAAGATTGGTATTTTGAACGTCACTTTCTCATGACAAATTAGTCTTTATGATATAAGTATTGAGCATGTTTTTGATCTATTTTTTCATGTACAATACGATGGTCTAATCAATTTTTACTTATTATCTACACAGCTCTGAAAGCAAAAAATTGGTAAAAAAAAGGTTTTTCAAATTTTTGGACACGACATCGTATTAAACATTTTCCGAAAATCATTTATTTAACTGTTTTATATAAAAAAAAATATTGATAGCTATGGCTACCATATTTTTTATTAGGATTCAGGTGATTGTCCCTTTTCGCTTTTGAAAAGTCCGGATATTCCATAAGAAGATGTAGAGATCGGTGTGTAATTTTTCGGTTCTGCGACAGGACTTTCTGTTTTTTTTTCTTTACACTTGTATATAAATAATTCATCGTGTGACTATGGTCGCGGTGGTGATAATGATTATTATTATTGCTATGATCAAGTATGCTTGTAGTATTTTTAGATGATGAGTCTGATTATATACGAGTGGGGTTCAAAAAGTAAGGTGACTTTTCAATTTTAGCGGGTTGCGTACATTCAAGTTATGAATTTCTGTTGTTGTTGTGTTGATGCACTCGCCACGATCATTTATAGTTTTGACTATATAGCATGTGTTGTTTTTCTGGCAAAGGCGTCAGAGGTTAGAAGTGTTTGGTGTGCTCGGCGATTTTCTCTATCGAAAAGAATGGAGCAAAGAGTTTGCATTAAATTTGAATGAATTAATAGTAATTTTCAATTACATGATCACAGAGAAAAATAATATTCCGGAGTAAAATAACAATTGATAATTTAGACTTAGATGACAAAGTAATTTTGACATCTACAAACAATGATGTAATCAATATTAATAATGACATTTTAGATATCATGGAGGGCAATCGCC